ACAGAGGAGGAGGGGGTTATGGAGGAGGGGGTACAGAGGAGGAGGGGGGTGGAGGAGCGGGATCCCGAGGTGGGGAGCTGGGTCACCGTTAGAAGGGGGTGTAGAGGGAAGAGTAGGAGAGAGGTCAGTCCTGATCTGAAACACCCTAATAAATATCCCAGGTTGCAGGATGTTGGGGATAGTAGTTCAGGGGTGACGGAAAGACCGGGTAATCTGTCATCGGAACCGTGAGCGTCGAACAGTCTCCTTCTTACCGGGGGCGCGTGTTCGGCACATTGCGGATCGGATGGACAGGTTACTAGATGGGGGTTGGCTGTCATGGGGCAGATTGGGGCAACATCGGCACCAATGACAGAATAGGAGGCAATTGGAGTGTCCTAAAAAGGGAGTTCAGAGACCTAGGTGCTAGGATGAAGGAAAGGACCTCCGCGGTGGTATTCTCCCAGATATTGCCGGGGCCACGAGCCGCTCCGGACAGACAGCGCGAGTTGAGGGAACTGAACAAGTGGCTCCGGAACCGGTGTCAGAAGGACGGGCTGCACCTTAATGGGGGAGGGGCAGCATTTCTGGGGGGAAATGGTAGAAAGACTGGAGGAGCTTTTATACTAGATAATGGGGGGGGGAGGGGGGCATATAAATAAATAGAGATAAATGATTCACGGATACAAATACAGAGGAAGTAACAGAGGGGTAAATAGCGGGCTCGCTCCCGTCACCAGTGCCAAAGCAGCCAATATAGTAAATCTTATGGCCCAAGATAATATAATTAGGAATGGACGACCGATATCAGGGGCGGATAATACATAGTTACATAGTATTTGAGGTTGAATAAAGACATTAGTCCATCAAGTCCAACCTATTAGGATCTCATTCTAGGAGTACTTGTACCCCTGTATATTACCTGTACCCCTGTATGTTACCTGTACCCCTGTATATTACCTGTACCCCTGTATGTTACCTGTACCCCTGTATATTACCTGTACCCCTGTATATTACCTGTACCCCTGTATATTACCTGTACCCCTGTAT